GGTTTTAAGAATTTTAAGAGTTTAAGAGTTTTTAAGAGTTTTAGCCAAATGCATTATAATATAGTATAGATATAGATAAAATCAAACATTTTATAAAAGTTTCACCAGTTTGATTATAAAATCGACTATGATGCTTTTTATATAAGAGAAAAGAGTGATGATGTTTCTTACAATTTTCATTATTTTTTTATCAATAAAAGTTTTGAAAGAGGGTAAGTTGTTATGTTTTTGTATATGTACTTGGTTTGGGTTTAATATATAATTATATTGTTTTAAAACTTGTAGCAGTTTGTATGTTGTAATAGCATCTCCAACAATTATGTTAAAATATATTTTTTTTTGTGATTTTAGAGGTTTTTTTTTTTGCTCCAATCATAGACGGACCTAGAGGGGTGGTTAGGTGGCACGGGCCACCGTATTGTTCCTTCGTGGTAAGGTAAAAAAATTTATGTTCGTAAAAGATGCAACCGTTTTATTCTATAAGGTGCAATCGTTTTATATGATGCCACAATATAAAGAAATTCTTGGGTCCGTCCCTGCCTCCAATAGACAATAGTTATACTATATATTGTATGCTAAAATGGAGAAAATAACAAAGAATTATGAAAATCTTTAAATTTGGAGAAATCTCTCCAACTCAGTGTTTAAGAAAGATAAATGATGTTTTACGTTGTGGTATCAAATTCGAGGAGAAAATAAAATAAATGGATTAAAAAAAAGGAAAATAAATTTTTTATTTGTGCTTCCGAAAATGAAGGAAAGGAAAAAATAAAAATATTATATCTTTTAAAAAAATGTTATTTTACAAATATACCCTTTAAAATATGTCATTTATTGTGAAATATTTAGTAGTTTTGTAATTTTAATGATCTTTTTAAATAATTTAATTTTTTTTCCTTTCATTTCCCTCTTAAGAAAAATTCGAGAACATTATTTTTTTTTTTACTTTCCTCCCTTTTCGTTCCTTCGTAAAAAATGTTTCGAGAACACAAGGTTAATCTTTCTACAAATAAGATAGCATTTGGTTCGCATGATGTTTTTAGATGTAATGGAATATGTCAAATGAATTTGACTTTTAAAGAAATTGAAATAGAATGTTGTCAAGTTCAACCACCTATTTCATTATCAAAATTATAATGGAATATATTAAAAGAATTGAAATATGTCTGTTTGACTCAAATAATATACTCTTATAGTTGGAAAGAAATATTGGTAAATAACCAAAATACTTTTTATTTATTAATTTTTTTAAACTAAAAGTATTTTAATTAAATAATCATCATATAAAAACGATATAAAATGCACAACCTAAATATAACCACTTACCAACTTAACTTATGAAATCGATGAAAAATAAATGTGACATAGCTAGTTGTGTGAATAACTCTAGAATCTAATCGTTTTCAACACTCTATTGACCTTATAAAACTTCAATGAACTGCTCTTATCCGACATTTTGTCTTGAACTAACACATGCATTTGTTTGTTGAATTCGTAATCAATACCTGAATGTACGACTCCAATGCCAACATTAAACAAATAACACAGTTCATTGTTGTTTGCTTGCTTTGCACAATTTGTGAAGATTGAATTTTTATATCCATTGAGGTGCAAGTAGACCTAAACACCTTTCGCAATTCTTCACTCTTCACCAAATTAAATGTGGTTAAATTAACCTCGTTCCTCCTCTTAATCATCCATCAACAAACCCAACACGCCAATGTTGAGTAGAATAAACATTTTGCAAAAATCGAGCAGAAACCAGATAATCTACATAAGTCAAGAAGAATACCAAAGCATTATGATGTTTTCGAGCAAGAATCAAGTAGAAATGTAGCATGATAGAATCACATTGTTGTTTTTAGCATAAATCAAGTAGAAATCAAATCCACCTGCCCTATTCAAGCAAAATTTGAGTAAAAGTTGAATTTATTCTCTGTTTTCGAACAGAATCTGAAATCATATATAACTTTCGAGCCGAAAACAAGTAGAAATCTAATCCACTCGTTGTCCTAAAGCAGAAATCGAGTAGAGATCAAATTCATCTGCCATTTTCGAGCAAAAACCGTAATCATTTGTAGTTTTCGAGCATAAGTCGAGAAACATGTAAAAGAATCGAGCAAAAGATGAATATAAAATGGAGAAATTAAACATGTGGTGGGCTGGTGTTGCAATGGAGAAGACGAGAGAGCAAAGTTGAATAGTGAAATCAGAATATGAGAAATGAATGGTTAAATCATTGGAATTACGAAAACGTAACATTTTATTTCATCAAAATACCACTTATATACCATGAAATGTTTAAATCCTTAATTTGTGGAATTTGAAGATTCATTTCCTTAAAAGAGAATGAATCAAACAAGGAAATAAAATATGGTAAAAAAAATCCAAAACTTCAATTCCATCAAATTCATCCAAAATTTACGAATCAAACGTCACAAAACGCGAAAGAAAGATAAATAATATTTTATTAATATATTAATGATTTTAAATGACTTTATATTACCTAAAAATCATATGTTATTCAATCAATTTCCTTCAATTTAATCATAAAAAAAATTAAAATCAAATCCATTAATCGCTACAAAACAAATTTGTGTTTTATAACGCATTCGGATACCCGTTTTCAAAATCCTCCAAGTGGAAGATACAAATACAAGGCGGGAATGGAATGCAAACCTAGATGACGTCATTAGTTATACAAAATATATTTATTTATTTTGAAAAAGTAAAAGAAACAAATCCAAAAAAAAAGGCAGCGGCAGCAGCAGCAGCAGTCCTGTCCAGCACGGTCATCCCATCTTCTTTTTCAATCGTTTGCATCTAAAAAATCCCAAGAACCCAGTTTGAATCAGTGTATGCGTTTGGTAGATCCACCTTCTAATTCTTGAAATTGCAGCAAACTTACAACAAAAGCCCTTTCCCCTTCGTTTTATTTTAAACAAAACGTACTGTTTTCCGTTCAAGATTTTAGTCGAGAGATCTTCTTAAGGTATGCTATCTCTTCCATCTTGCGTGATTAATTTTTATTTGTTTATTTTTGGACCTGGGTGTAAGTAGATCTGTCACGAAATGCTGTAATTTGGATTTAAGTAAACAACCAGTTGAATTTAGAAATTGGGTTTGATGAGATATTTGGGAGATTTTTAATTTTGGGGGTTTATACGAACCCGAGCTGCGATTCTGCTAGCATTTGATAAATGCGTCAGGGTTTTAGTGGGGTTCTAATTCATTCGTAATTTTTGTATATAGAATAGTGTTTAACGTTTCTCAGCTGCTTTTACTCTGATAACAAGATGAAGAACCGAAGCTTTCTTTAGAAAATAGCTGGAAATTTTAGGATTTCAGAACTTTCTGATGATCTGACTTAATACCCTGTTATAAGTTGGCCAATGTGAGCAATGCGTTAGGTTTTTAGTGGGACTGACTGCAATCTTTGATTGTTTTAGATAGCAGTCGTTCAGTATGCTTAGATTATTAGCTGAAAATGCAACCTTCCTCTAGAAATTAGCTGGGTTCAAGGATTAGAGGTCAAGATTTATGGAATTCAAGAAGCTTATGATGACGTTCCCAAAATCTTGCTATGGATTTGTTGAAATTGAGCAATGTGCTAGGTTGTTAGAGGGGACTCCAGTAATTCTTGGCCTGTGTTTGCTGTACTTTGATCGTTAACTGGAAACCAAGCTTGTTTTCAAAGAACTACATGAAATTCTGAATTTGGGTCGATATTTATGAAGTTTAGAATTATTTAACAATGTAATCCACATCAAATTACGAGCGAAACACGATTCTTGATTGTTATTTTTCAGTGATTTCTACATTTATGGTTCTTTAAGTAGTAATCTACTTTCAGCACTATCAGGACACATTCAAGGAACCAAGTGTTTCAGCTAGTTTGTCATGAATTTGCACCCAGACAGGTTTGGAAGTGCAAATGGGCAATCAGATGGCTCAAACAACGTTAATGGTGGTGGTGTTAAATATAAAGAAAACAATATAGGTTTTACTGAAGGTAATATGAGTTCTTTGAAATTTTGAAACTGCATCTGTATCTGGATATTTTAGATTACAACAAAATTTTAGATTTCTGTTTACTTTCTAGTCTTTTCAGCAAGTTCCCATATGAACAGACTTTTGATTAAACATATTGAACATTTAAATATTTACTTAGAAAATATACATATCATTTATGTTACAATATAATACCCTTAATTGATGCCAGTTATCAGAAATGGATATCGCTGAAATCTAAATATTATTTCGATCATCAGATACAAATAATATGTTAATGAGACTAGATGAGCAGTTGTTTATCACATTTTATTCTGTAGTACTACTATTCATGTGGTTGTTTTAAATCCACCTTCTACTCTTTCAGTAGGCGATCGTCCTGCTGCTAAAGTGCCAGAAATGATGAACCTAAACAATTTAGAGGTTACTGCTGTTCTGTTTCCTTTTCTATAAATGTAGACACTGCTTAATTTTTTCTTTAGCTTGTTCCTGATGCAATCTTTATTTACAGAATGCATCTTCTCAGTCACTTTTTAATATTGTGCATAAGATTCTTGATGACAGCATTGAGAACAGGAAAGATGATGTACCAGATGTAAGGCAATTCTTGGCTTCTAACAACACTTGTGATTTCACAATTAATCATCAGATCATTAAATAATTCTGTAAATTCATTTTCTTTTGTGTAGAGAGTTGCCTGTCTATTGAAGAAGCTTGTTCAAATGATTGAGCAACGGATTTCGAAACAAGCAGAGGACTTCAAGAAGGTAAAACTTGAAGCTATTCTTGTGTGTAGAAATTCCACTCTTAACACTTATAAATGACGGTTTCTTTTCTGTACCTTTAGCAAAACAATCTATATAAGACTCGAGAAGAGAGGTATCAATTGAGAATTAGAGTGCTTGAAACTCTTGCAACCGGGGCTGCAGAAGAAAATGAGGTAGCTTGAGTTTGATAGTTGTCTTGGAGGTGGCATACTTGTTTTACCTATTATTTATTTTAACTAAAAAAAGTTTGTTATTTCTGCTAGGTCATTATGAATCAACTCCAGCATATAAAGGTGCCTTTTTCTATCCTTGCATCATGTTCTTAATCACAAAGAATGATAACTTATTAATGTTTTTGTAGTTAAAATCCTAAGGATTTCAGAAAGATACATAACATATGATTCAGATAGACAGTATGCACAAACTTGTTTTTGTGTTGGTCTTCTTCTCTCTAAAGCTTTCAAAGATTACAATTTAGAATGTAAAAATGTTATCGATGTCGAGTTGGATTAAAAACCTTTATGTCCACAGGGTAGAAGCTAATAGTGGTTTATTTGCAGGCTGAGAAGATTAACATAGAGGAGAAGAAAAGGGTTGAAGATGTAGAATTAGTTAGGCTAAGGAAAGAGAATGATGACGCTAATTTAGAAATATCAGAATTAAAGCAGGAATTAGACGTCACACGGGATACATATGAGAAGCGTTGTCTACAGCTTGAAACCGATGCTATGGAAATTAAATCTGAGCTAGAGAAGAAGATGCTGGATCTCGAGAATCTTCTCACTGGTTCAAGGAAGAAGGTGAAAGAACTTGAAAAGTTTACGGAATCTAAGTTTCTAAGATGGAAGAAGAAAGAACGCGTCTACAAGAATTTTATGGATTTTCAATATGGATCTCTACAGGTTCGTATAAACTATTATGCATTTATCTTTAAAAGGTGTCAAATGTATCTAGGAGATATTATGAGCTTCTAGAGCTTAATCGGCTAAGCTGGGATTAAGTGAACATGCGAATGGTTCATTTAAATGTATAAAATTTAATTGATACTATATTATTATTGTATACTAACGTCCCTTTTATAGTTTCATTTACATAAATATTATATTATTATTAGTTAGGCTAAGATGGTATTTTAGAACATTGTGCTTAACATGGAATTGTGGAACTGGCAGGGATTGAGGACGGGTTCTGAGTCCATTAAGCAAGAAATTCTGAAGACACAGCAGATTTACTCAGAAGAAATCAATCAATTTGGTAGATTTTCGGCCTTTTCATCTATCTTGTTCATGAATTAAACTTCGTTTGTTTTGCCTCTGTTTCCTTGTTGACTTTAGTTATATTACTTTGAACAGGAACGAAGATTCAGGGCCTTGTAGATGCTGCGCAAAATTACCACGCAGTCCTAACAGAAAACCGGAAGCTGTACAATGAAGTCCAAGATCTGAAAGGTATTATATAATGCTTAGAGATTTTATGAGTACCGTTGCTAAACGATATTTTCTTGTTTGAAAACAGGGAATATTAGAGTTTATTGTCGTATAAGGCCGTTCCTTAAGGGTCAAAGCCAAAAGCAGACAACTATAGAGTATATTGGTGAGAATGGGGAGTTGGTTGTTACAAATCCCTCAAAACAAGTAAAAGAAAGCCACCGACTCTTCAAATTCAATAAAGTCTTTAGCCCTGCAGCAACACAAGGTCTTTCTCCTACCATCACTTTAAAAGGATCTCGACCATTTTGTATTATTATGTACGGATGTGTGTAAAATTCATATGATTATTTTGATAAAATTATGTGTTTTCAGAGGAAGTCTTTCTTGATACTCAACCACTCATCCGATCGGTGCTTGATGGCTATAACGTGTGCATATTTGCATATGGTCAAACAGGCTCCGGGAAGACATATACTATGGTAAATGTTGTAGGTCAAGAAGTACGTTAATATACGAAGAATATTTGATCTACGATTTTTGACTTATTTTGTGCCTTTCTTTTAGACGGGGCCTAACATATCATCTCCTGAGGACTGGGGGGTCAACTACCGAGCCCTAAATGATCTGTTTCATCTCTCCCAATCTAGGAGAAGCTCATTTGAATATGAAATTGGTGTGCAAATGGTCGAGATATATAATGAGCAAGTTCGTGATTTGTTATCGAGCGATAGTACTCAAAAAAGATATCCTTCCCCTTTAGCTTCCTTGTTTGATTTTATTCATTTCTTATATATAGAGAGGGGGGGGGGGAGGGTCAGACAACATCAATATCCAAATAAGAGAACACGAAAACGACCAAATGACGTGCAAAATCACATGTGATTTTACACTAACAGTTAACACAGTCGTGTGCAAGCGACGTAGCCTGTGACCTTGGGTCGCAACTTAAGTCGTGTGAATCACATGTGATTCGACCGTTTTCTTGTTCTCTTATTTGGTTACAGTTCTCATACGAACCTATCTCTCTCTCTCTCTATATATATATATATATATACACACACACATATATATATATAGGGGAAGGTTCAGTCGCAAATCCGTTGTGAACCAGGGAACAAAGGAGAGCGCACCACGTGTCCCAGACATTTACGGGACATTCATCCGGAATGGTGCACCATTATCATTCGTCCTGAATGGTGTAAAAAATTCATGTTCATTATTCATGATGAATGAGAACAAAAGGGACACGTGTCAGGCTCTCCTTTGTCCCCTGCTCACAATGGAAAACAGGTATGCAACTGAATTATTCTATATATTTGTGCATTATTATATATCTTAGAAGACCATATGGTCTTCTAATATATAAATAGATGAAAATACATATAGTGCAGTATATTTTCGTTGTGCAGATGTATACCTTGACTTTCACACACTTGGGATATGGAATTCTACCCAACCAAATGGGTTAGCTGTCCCTGATGCTAGCATGCACCCTGTTACATCAACTGCAGATGTCCTGGAGTTGATGCATGTCGGGTTAATGAATCGGGCCGTAGGTGCCACCGCCTTGAACGAAAGGAGCAGCCGGTCTCACAGGTTTGGTTGTCATGATATTTTGTCTATATTCATTTTTCTTTAATGGGTATGACATTAATTAAAATCTTTATATGATTTCAGTGTCTTAACTGTTCATGTTCGCGGAACGGATTTGGAGACGAATGGCGTACTGCGTGGTAACTTGCATTTGGTTGATCTTGCTGGAAGTGAAAGAGTGGATCGATCTGAAGCAACCGGGGAAAGATTACGAGAAGCTCAACATATCAACAAATCTTTATCTGCTCTTGGGGATGTTATTTATGCCCTCGCACAAAAGAGTCAACACGTGCCATATAGAAACAGTAAACTAACTCAAGTTCTTCAAAGCTCTTTAGGTACTCAAAACGTTCGATTTATATTTGTTGGTGGCTAAAATTGGTTGATTATATCAGTCCTTATCTTGTCTGCGACATATTATAGGGGGTCAAGCAAAGACTCTTATGTTCGTACAGCTCAACCCTGATGTGGAATCTTTCTCGGAAACTATAAGTACGCTGAAGTTTGCTGAAAGGGTGTCTGGTGTCGAGTTAGGTGCAGCACGTAGCAACAAGGAGGGAAGGGGTGTTCGAGAACTTATGGAACAGGTAAACTTATGAGGTTTTATTGGTTTTTTATCTTCCATTGCTTTACATGATGTTTCTTTCTGAACTTCCTTTGAAAAATATAACGTAAAGTATAGGCTATGTTTGGCAAACTAGCTGATAAGGTAGCTCTTATCTGAAAAGCTAGCCGTTGACTAATAAGCTAGTTGTTAGCTGATAAACATAAACTAGTCGTGTTTGGTAGAAACTAACCCGCTAAGTCCAGTCAAAATGTAAAATGACATAAAAGGACCTGCTGAAAAATTAATTGGAAACTTATAAGGGCATAATTGGACATAAGGGGAAAAAAAGCCCCTAGAGCTTGTTGGAATGCTACTTGAAGTAGCGTTCAAAAAGCTAGCTTATTGCTAACCAAGCAAGGCTTTTTCAAAAAGCTCAAAAAATAAGTAGCTTATGTTGCCGAACATTGCCTAAATATTGTCCTTGGCATGTTTTTGCTTCTAATTCTTCACCTTTGTTGGGGTGATAATGTAGGTGACTTGTCTAAAAGATGCTTTGACCAAAAAGGATGAGGAGATAGCACTATTACAGGTCCGAAAAACAAATTCTAGTGGTGAGAAGGGCTCACCAAGGTTTGGGTCTTCCTCTCCAAGAAGGCATTCAATTGGGGGATTACAGATACAGCCTAACGGAACTCCTCCTTATGTTAAAAGTTTAGGATTTCGTTCAAAAGCAGTTTCTGGTATTGACAATTGTTCAGAGTTCAGCGATAAGCAATCTGAATCTAGTTCTCAGCGGTCGACTGATGAGTTTAGACACCATAAAGAAGTAGTAGATGGTGGTCTAGGTTTGTCTGAAGATGGCGAATCTAGATTTGGTATCGTAAATGCCATTCAAGATCTTAATGATGATATCGAGCTTGTGGGATTAGGGGATGCAGATTCTGATGAGAGGTTAAGCGATATATCTGATGGCGTTCTTTCGATGGGAACAGAGACCGATGGTTCACTGAGTAGCATTGTTGAGTTCACTTTTTTCCCCGAGACTGCAAAAGCACCTGTTGACCACCAGGAGAAGTGAGCCTCTTCTATATAGTTCTGGGGATTCTTATTGCTAATTTTGGTGAACTTAAAAAGAAACTTGATTGTGGTGTTATAATTTCAGGCCGAATGTACCAGCTAAACTTCCAAGACCCCCACAAAAGATGGCATCTTCTTCACGAAAACCGGTGCGGCCAGCTTCATCCTCACAACGGCAGGGCCTAGCCACACCTTCTTCACAACGGCAGGGGCTAACCGCACCTTCTTCACAACGGCAGGGGSTAACAGCACCTTCTCGACCTTCATTAACCAAGGGTGTTTCATCAAGTATGTCACCTTGCTATTGTGTTGTGTTACATCTTCATTCAGTTAATAGGTCAAAAGAGAGCAAAATCATCCTGTCTGCATCTTCCCATACTACCCTTGTTTGCCACTATTATTCATCACTATTGCATTTCCATCAAGGGGTATATTCGTAAAACCACTACTGGAAATCGTTAGTTTTCAATTATGCAGCCACTATTTTTGAGAGCAGCATCCAAAGCATAGAGAAAGCAGTATCTTCATTGCTCTTCCTTTTCTCATATGAAGAGTGATCAACAAAATATGCACTTTTGACTTTTCTCATATGTAAATTGACTCATTTGCCCTTTTGTGTTTCTACAGGTTCTAGTGCTAAAAAGTCAAGTTCTGCACTTAAATCCGGTGGAAGACGATGAACATGAATCTTAATTGACACTACGACTGTAACGTAAGATAGGTTAGCATCCCTCTCATTCATATGGAAAAACACTTGTGTGCTTGTCAACTTATCTGGAAATATATTTAGATTGGAGTCAACTTTCTTGATTGACTCCTGAAAATTCGGAATGCTTATGATTTCATTTTTCAATCTATCATTTGATACTTATTTTGTAGCTCTCTTTCGGTCTTTATTTATAGCTTCACTTTGAACTTTGTGTCAACTCATTTGACTTCTGCTTATATTTATCAACTTCTGTATGTGTTGATAGTCCATGAATAACGGACATTTTAACTGATTTTAGGGGTCGTTTACCAAACGCTTACTCGGGTAAGCGCTTACCAAGTCACATTAACTTACCGGGATGAATATGGTAAGGACCAAGAATAATACGTGGTAAAAGCAAGGCAAGAACCAAGAGTCTTACCCGGTAAGTGTGGACGATGACTCTTACCATGGTTGGCGTTTACCGGGTAAATTGTTGCATACGATGCTGTTTTTTTGACTAAAATTTTACCCCGTAAGTAAGTGATAATATTGAGTTTTACTGGCATTTGAGTTGAGAGCAATTGTAGGAATTTGTTTTATAAAAAACTAAAAACCGAAACAACTTATTTTGTGTATTTCAAGAACGACAAATTGGTAAACAACAAAAAAATATTAAAATTGGAAAAATAAATAAATAACAATAACAATAAAAACAGACAAAATTTAATAACTTTACGCTTTCAATTTCAAATTCTAATTATTTGACCAATCCTCGAATAATTGATATCTTAACTGATCTTTGTCTAAAAAATTATATATCATACAAACTATTCGAGGATGACTAATCCCTACCCTTTCTATGTTTAACCGATCAAAAAGTAACCGGTTCCCATTTGAACCCAATCGCCCTTTGCCATTACATTAAAATTATCAACCACAAGGGTGGTGTCTAAGCGGTTTGAGCTTGGGCTCCAAAGGTCAAAAATGCCAGGAGGTCCCAAGTTCAAATCAAAGAAGAAACAAAAATCCTCTTTTGGCCACATAGATTCAAATGCGGTTGTTTCGGGCTACCCGCAAAGCAAGTGGTCGCTTCCTAGGATTAGTCGACTCGCATAGCGAGGTTGAATATCTAGGTTAATTAAAAAAAAAAACTCTAATAAAAGAAAAAAAAAGTACAATTTTAAAATAACTAAGGTATTGTTCATCAAACTTGCAGGAAAATGCATCGTTAAATAGAGGGATGTTTAAATTAAAACAATAATTAAATAAGGAAACTCAAAAATGGCAAAATTAATGTATAAAATCACATGTGTTTTGATTGTTTTTTTTATTCGGCTACTCTTTTAATGAATATAGTAACATATTATATTTTTAAATGAGTAAATAATTAGTAAAAATATATTTTTAGTGAATTACATTTTTCGTTTTTATGGTTTGTTAAAATTTGCAATTTTCATTCCTGTGGTTTAGGAATTATTGTTTTCATCGGTTTATAATTTATTGTTATTTTCGTCATGAAACTAATTCTTACATTTTAAGTACAAGAAACCAATATATTAAATACTTTTAAACTATAAGAACGAAACAACAATAAATTATAAGGACAAAAATAAAAATGATTTACAAATTATAGAGACAAAACTGTAATATTTAAACCACATGGATGAAAATCATAATTTTTAACAAACCATATGGACCAAAAATGTAAGTTACTCTATATCCCTTTTTACAAAAATGTGCACAAACGCAATTTCGTGGATGGAGGGAGGAAAGGATGATTCCCATGTGCTCTAGATACGTTACGCTCTAGATTTCAACACATAACCTTTCCAATATAACCCTCCACTAAACCCTCATCTCCTATGAAATCATCTGCTGCTTCTTTCCAAGAAATGAATCCGACAACATTAAACCCTATGCTCCATTCTGTATCGCAATCTATTAATCCATCGAGGTTCGTACTTCTTTCCTGCTCTTGTTCAAAATTGTAATGTATACGTGTGGGAGTCTTGCTCAAATCTAGTAGACATAGGGCATAAGATCTGGATATCATGCGAATAGGAAACCATTGATATGAAGATGGATGCGTTTTCTGTGATTTTGTTTGTTGCTGAACAAATGAGAACCATTTGATTCGTTGAAATTTATGTTGAAAGTACTTGAGATTAGGTGTATCTTTTAACTTGATGTGGTTCTGTGCACACACACACGTATATGTGTGTGTGTGTGATTTCTACCCTAGTACGCAACTTTAGTTCTGAAGGCTAGTAGTCTGCACAAATCGAACCATATGTAGATCGCGGCTTGATCATTTGAGAACTCCAAAATTTGTGACATTGTGAGAACATCAAGAAATTTTGTGACATCATGAGAACATCAACCTTAAGGCTTCACATATTCTTATTATTGTATTAATTAACATATATTTGTTTCACAACTTGTTTGTTTCATATGTCTTCTTTTTTACCGTTAAGTTTTTGTTTCACAAACCCAGTTTTTGTTTCACAAACCCGTGAGCAGGTTCTCAAAGATTTTATATGGTTCTCAAAAGAAGGTTCGTATTTCAATATTATTGGTTGAAATTCTAATAAAAAAAATTGATATGATAAATCAGAACCTTACTGTATGTATGGTGTTATTTTTATGTCATTTTGAACAACAATTAGTCTCCAGGCCTGTTCATTTTAACAGGTTGATATCAAACAACATTTAGGGCAATCTTGATCATTTTGACAGTTTTATCTTGTCCTGTCCATCTTACTGAGCCATATACCAAACTTAGGAGAGACAATTATTCCTATCTAGTTCTGCCTTTCCCTTTCGGTTTATGCACCAAACATTACTTATTTGACATTGTTTATTTACAATCATCCATCTTGAAGAGTTAAACGTTTATCTTAAATATAGTTACAAAAACAATAATTAATTTGTAACGGAAAGTTATAACTCAAACTTGTTTGTATTTGCTCTGGTATTGAGAACTAGTTTACAAGTTTTAGGTATTTGAAGCAATGAATGGTAAAATTAGATTATCTCATTTGGAATCAGAGTCCAGAAAAGTGATATGTATGCATACAGTAAAACGGTTGTTGATTTAAAATCAAAACATATGATACATACTTGCTATTAATTCGATCTCTTTGTTTGTATTTGGCAGACTCAGAAGTCAAAGATGTCGAAACAACACTCGCGTTGCGTATTGAAGACCAATTATCGATTAATCGATCCGCCTTCGTTTCGTTCAAATGTCACCGGTTAATATAAATCTCTTTTGCCAAATCCGTTGCCATAAACTCTTATCCTACGCTTCGAGATTTCATTATCATAAACTCTCCCAAACTGTAAGTTCATTAATACCTCTGTATCGTAGCTATTTCAATTCACCTATGTTGAAATTTAGTCCTGTTTCACTTCCCACTTCATTCCCTCAAATGGTTGATCGTAAATTTGCATTGATTCACTCTTATAGTTTCAAAAGTGATTGTGATGCATTTGATCAAACGCCTGGTGGGCATGTTTCAGTTTTGAGTGGTGATGATGAATTGTATGAAAAAGATGGTGACTATAGTTCTGATAATAACTCGTTRGATGAAAAAACTARTGCCCGTGTTCCCRTTTCCAGTGTTGCTGAGAACTTGTACRATATTATTATARATTGTAAGCCTAAYAACCCAGAAAATRGTGACATGGAGAGATCTCTTAACGAAACTGGTGTTCAATTGACAACACTGTTGGTGATGGAGGTTTTAGGTAGCCTTAGGTTTCAGGAGAAGTTAGCTTTTAGGTTTTTCACATGGGCTGGGAACCATGAAAAGTATAATCATGAACCTCATGCATAYAATGAGATGATTGACATACTTTCAAATACAAAATATAAGGCAAAGCAATATCGTATCGTTTGCGATCTTTTGGATTACATGAAGAGAAATGACAAAGTTAGTGTGTCTACTSAAGCATTGTTGAAGATTTTGAGACAATATGCAGATAARCATTTGTCTCATCTTCATAAGTTTGCAAAGAAGAAGAAGGTTAAACTCAAAAAGATGCAGCCTGAGATCGATGCACTTAATGTGTTATTAGATGCTTTTTGCAAGTCTTGTTTGGTTGAAGATGCTGAAGCTATGTTTATGAAGCTAAAGAACAAAGTCAAGCCCAATGCCAGCACCTATAATATTTTGTTTTTCGGGTGGTGTAGGGTGAGAAATCCCACCAGGGGTATGCAAATACTTGATGAAATGATCGAAATGGGCCATACCCCAGAAAATTTCACGTATAATACGGCTATAGATACATTTTGTAAATCTGGGATGTTCTCAGAAGCTGCTGAGCTTTTGGAGTTCATGAGAGCAAAGGGTACACTCATGTCTGCTCCCACTGCTAAAACATATTCCATCATGATTGTTGCATTTGCACGTAGCAATAGAATGAACGAATGTTTTAAACTTGTGGACGATATGGTTTCTAGTGGTTGCCTYCCTGATGTTTCAACCTATAGAGAAATGATTGAAGGGATGTGYTTGGCTGGGAAAATTGAAGCTGCTTATAGATTCTTGGAAGATATGGGGAACAAAGGTTACCCTCCTGATATCGTCACATATAACTGTTTTCTCAAGGTTCTTTGTGATCATAAAGATARCCAAGAAGCAGTTAAACTGTACATGAAAATGATTGAGGTTGGTTGTGTGCCGAGTGTTCAAACTTATAACATGCTACTAATGATGTTCTTTAAGATGGATGATCCAAATGGGGCGTTTGAGATTTGGCATGAGATGGATTCCAGGAGATGTATTCGTGATACTGATTCTTATTGTGTAATGGTTGAAGGGCTTTTTGGGTGTGAAAGAACAGAGGATGCTTGTGCTCTTTTAGAAGAAATCTTGAATAAAGGTATGAAATTGCCTTATCAAAAATTYGATTMTTTCTTGATGCAACTCTCAAGCRTAGGTGATCTTCGTGCTATTCATAGACTGTCTGAACACATGAGGAAATTYTACAATCCTGTTATGGCTCGTAGATTTGCGTTAAACCAGAAAAGGAAGAGTGTTAGTTTAAGGGGGAAGTGATCAGCTCCTTGTTCAAGAGGTAACATTTCTCGCTTTACAGTGTTCTGTTTCGCGTAGATTTTAAGGCATTCTGACAAGATTTTTGCGCTAAAAAGTTGGAAGACTGTTTTCTTGTTGAGTTGATATCTGGACCTGCATAATTTATACAAACTAGTTGTCCAAATGTCTTTGCTGTTTGTAGCTTATTTGAAAATGAAGAATTCTTGAAATCAAATGGTATAAATTTATACACATTGCATCATCCTATGATATCATGTACTAGTTTTTTTACCACTAGCTATTAACTGCACCCGAATTTTACACTCATTTGTATTACAAACGAAGGATCGTGTGGGAATGAGAGTTTAGGTGAGAAGCATAAGAAGGAATCTGTCCCCTTGATCACCTTTAATCTCAAACCCATCCATGAATTGCGCTTGATACGGAGATTGATCTGGTGTATCTCGGTGCATCTCATCCTAACGTGCATTAAAGGGTGGAGTTCCTTTCTTATTACATAGGTACACTTCTATAATACAATAAAATTGTTATTGAATTATAGATGCTACTATTCAAGCTAAATTAACATTCCATTGTTTAATTCAACACTATATGCGTGAAATAATAACGCGATACATAATTATTTTGTAATTACCGAAAAAACATCAGCTCAACTTGTATGGATAATCATCTGAATTTGCAGGTTTAAATTTTGAAAAGCCTTAAAGAGTAGTCCTGAACGAGGTAAACAAGAGAATCAAAACACTAGGAAGGAAAACGACCATTAGTCTCCATCTTCCGGGTTCCCATTGAACTTGGTGGAAAGGTGAAAGATGAAGCATATTTTTGTTTGTACAAAAAAAAAGAGTAACCGAATATCAGATGCTCCTTGTTCATCTACAATTTATGAGATCCCTTTATATGTTAATGTAGTAGTTTTTTTTTAATCATTAGCACTATTAACTGCACCCAAATTTTACACTCATTTGTATTATAGGCGAAGGATCGTGTGAGAAGGAGATATAAGGTGAGAAGCATAAGAAGGAATCTGGACCCTTGATCACCTTTAATCTCAAACCCATCCATGAATCGTGCTTGATATGGGGACTGATCTGGTGTACCTGGGTGCATCTCATCCTAACGGGCATCCAAGGGTGGAGATCCTTTCTTACACTTCTCACCGGAACCCAACCCTTGTATTACACAGGTACACTTCTATAATACAATAAAATTGTTAATGAATTATAGATGCTACTATTCAAGCTAAATTAACATTCCAATGTTTAATACAACTAAAACTATATGCGCGAAGTAATAACGCGATATATAATTATTTTGTAATTACCAAAAAAGACATCAGCTCAACTTGTATATATAATCATCTGAATTTGCAGGTTTAAATTGTGAAAAGCCTTAAAGAGTAGTCCTGAACGAGGGAAACAAGAGAATCAAAACACTTGGGATATGGATTCTACCCAACCAAATGGGTTAGCTGTCCCTGATGCTAGCATGCACCCTGTTACATCAACTGCAGATGTCCTGGAGATGTCCTGGAGTTGATGCATGTCGGGTTAATGAATCGGGTCGTAGGTGCCACCGCCTTGAACGAAAGGAGCAGCCAGTCTGACAGGTTTGGTTGTCATGATATTCTGTCTATATTCATTTTCCTTTAATGGGTATGACATTAATTAAAATCTTTATATGATTTCAGTGTCTTAACCTTTCATGTTTTTGGAACGGATTTGGAGACGAATGGTGTACTGCATGGTAACTTGGATTTGGTTGATCTTGCTGGAAGTGAAAGAGTAGATCGATCTGAAGCAACTGGTGAAAGATTACGGAAAGCTCAACATATCAACAAGTCTTTATCTGCTCTTGGGGATGTTTTTATGCCCTCGCAAAAAAGAGTCAACACGTTACTCAAGTTCTTCAAAACTCTTTAGGTACTCAAAACGTTCGATTCATATTTGTTGGTGGCAAAAATTGGTCGATTATATCAGTCCTTATCTTCTCTGCGACATATTATAGGGGGTCAAGCAAAGACTCTTGTGTTCGTACAGCTCAACCCTGTTGCGGAATCTTTCTCAGAAACTATAAGTACGCTGAAGTTTGCTGAAAGGGTGTCTGATGTCGAGTTAGGTGCAGCACGTAGCAACAAGGAGGGAAGGGGTGTTCGAGAACTTGTGGAACAGGTAAACTTATGAGGTTTTATTGGTTTTTTTTATCTTCCATTGCATTACATGACATTTCTTTCTGAACTTCCTTTGAAAAATAGAGCGTAAAGTATAAGCTATGTTTGGCAAACTAGCTGATAAGCTAGCTGTTATCTGAAAAGCTAGCCGTTGACTAATAAGCTAGTTGTTAGCTGATAAACATAAACTAGTCGCGTTTGGTAAAAACTAACCGCTAAGCTAGGTGACAATGTAAAATGACATAAAAGGACATGCTGAAAAATTAATAGGAAACTTATAAAGGCATAATTGGAAATAAGTGGAAAAAAATCCCCTAGAGCTTGTTGAAAAGCTACTTGAAGTAGCGTTTCAGAAAGCTAGCTTATTGCTAACCAAGCGAGGGTTTTTCAAAAAGCTCAAACAATAAGTAGCTTATGTTGCCGAACATCCCCTAAATATTGTTCTTGGCATGTTTTTTCTTCTAATTCTTCACCTTTGTTGGGATGATAATGTAGGTGACTTGTCTAAAAGATGCTTTGACCAAAAAGGATGAGGAGATAGCACTGTTACGGATCCGAAAAACAAATTCTAGTGGTGAGAAGGGGTCACCAAGGTATGGGTCTTCCTCTTCAAGAGGGCATTCAATTGGGGGATTACAGCCTAACGGAACTCCTCCTTATGATAAAAGTTTAGGATTTCGTTCAAAAGCAGTTTCTGGTATCGACAATTGTTCCGAGTTCAGCGATAAGCAATCTGAATCTAGTCCTCAGCGGTCGACTGATGAGTTTAGACACCATAAAGTAGTAGATGATGGTCTAGGTTTGTCTGAAGATGGCGAATCTAGATTTGGTGTCATTAATGCCATTCAAGATCCTAATGACGATATCGAGCTTGTGGGATTAGGGAATGCAGGTTCTGATGAGAGGTTAAGCGATATATCTGATACCATTCTTTCGATGGGAACAGAGACTGATGGTTCATTGAGTAGCATTGTTGAGTTCACTTTTTTCCAAGAGCCTGCAAAAGCACCTGTTGACCACCAGGAGAAGTGAGCCTCTTCTAAAAAGTTCTGGGGATTCTTATTGCTAGTTTTGATGAACTTAAAAAGAAACTTGATTGTGGTGKTATAATTTCAGGCCGAATGTACCAGCTGAACTTCCAAGACCCCCACAAAAGACGGTATCTTCTTCACGAAAACCGGTGCAGCCAGCTTCATCCTCACAACGGCAGGGCCTAGCCACACCTTCACAACGGCAGGGGCTAACCGCACCTTCTTCACAACAGCAGGGG